GTGAAATTTTGAAAAATGGGTCACAAACTTTCCTTATGACTTCAGGTGAACTGTGACCCTAAACAACACAGTATGTAAGGATAAACTAATGCTCTGAATATGGTTAAGAAAAAATCAGAACTCCCTACAACATCTGGTCACACAGACTTGGCAAAATTTCAAGGAAAAGGTGTTAGAAATTATCCAATTAAACTACACAATTACAAACTTTCTCTATAACCCTAACTAAGACTAAGCACTAGGATTTGGCTTCAAGTTTCTATAATCCTAGAAAATGCAATATGCCATGATCTATTAAAGCTTCAAAAAATCAGACTTAGACATTTTCTTTAGCCCACATGACGTCTCTAGACCTAGGAAAGTTATCCTCTTGATTACCCACTCTTAAGTTGAAAATAAGAAGTCCCTCACACCCTTATTAGATGACTATGAACAACCAACCATTATCTAATTAAGTTCAATCATGAAAAGATCAATGAAATAAAGACCTCTTTCCTTCTTCATCTTCTCCTTCATTATTCGTAATTCTCCAATGGCCAAGAAAGAGGGGAAAAAAAAACAATTACGCAACGCACCTGTATGACATGGCTCCTGACATCTCCTTCACTGCCCGGACATAGCTTAGAAGAGAGACAAAGACAAAGAGAGCGCACAGGAGATCAGCACGACCCACAATCCCAGACACCTGAGGGATACAATATTGAAGGTTATTGTGCTGAAACTTTGTCTTGATAATACATTTATCAAGAACATAATTACATGTAGAGGGAGAGGAGAGGAAGAAAGAAAGAGAGAAAGAGAGAAAGAGGGAAAGAGAGTAAGAGGGAAAGAGAGTAAGAGGGAAAGAGGGAAAGAGGGAAAGAGGGAAAGAGGGAAAGAGGGAAAGAAGGAGAGGGAGAGGGAGAGGGAGAGGGAGAGGGAGAGGGAGAGGGAGAGGGAGAGGGAGAGGGAGAGGGAGAGGGAGAAAAGAATAGGATAGAAAAGGCAGAAAAGAGGAAAAGGAGTGATGAAAGGAGAGAGAGAAAGAAGAGAGGGGAGTTTTGCTTACCGCCTCAGTGTGAATGGGGTGAGTGGCGAAGAGTATGGCCGACAGGATGGCAGCCCGTGGAGCACCGTTACCAAACACAACATAAAACACCCTAAGGCTCATTATGCTGACAAGGCAATGTACTACAACATTGACAGCATGGTAACTGAAGGGGTCCAATGCTCCCCATGAGTAGTTTAATCTGTGGGAGAAAGTACATGGAAATTTTATGGTTCTTTTGTGTGGGAAGGCTGTCAGATTTATCTTTTTATCCACATTTTTTCAAGATTTAGTATCATAGGATACTGTAAGATATACCACAAAATAAATTATCCGTAGAAAGCATAAATTACTTAAAGTAGAAGAAAGTCAGAGAGGAAAACAGTCAGTGGCTTGTACAATCTAAAACAAATATTACCTGAAAGAGAGAACAGTCAAGGGCCTGTACGATTTGTGACTCGATGGATGTGTCAAACGGGTGCCCCAGAAGTCATTGTGGAACAGGTTGGCAAGAGGAGTGTCCCCTCTGAGATCACTGTTGTTCACAATTGCCTCCGAGTCATCAAACACAAAGTCGCCCGAGAGAGAGTTGACGAAACAGACACACGCACAGATGCCGACCAGAAGGGCTGCTGCAGGGTATGGCAATTCTGAAAAGGAGAGAGGGCTGTACTCTAGTACATTCTTCAGGTATAAGAAAGGATAAGCATCTAACTATATCAAAATTTACTTAATATACATATGCCTATATATATGTGTACACATACATATATACATACAAATATACACACACACACACACACACGCACACACACACACACACACACACACACACACACACACACACACACACACACACACACACACACACACTCTCTCTCTCTCTTACCTGGTGCGGGAACATCCTCGTCCCAAGAGCTTGGCGACGACACCTGCAGCGATTTCATCATTCCGGCTCCCTTGTCTGTTCCATTCTTCTCTCGCACCTTGTGGTGATCCCCATCCCAGGCACGGCACATTCCACCGCACACCATCTTGCGTTACCCGGCTGTGAGGGAAAAAAATAATAAAGATTAAATAGTATGTTCGGATCTCGGGGAATGAGTACTCAGGAGAGATTTGTCTTTTGCCTGAATGCTTATAATTAAACTGCATCACACACAATTTTCTAAATATCATAAACTCATCTCCAAAGCTATAGGTATTCTTACAATGAGAAAAGTTACAGTGCAATGCCTGCTGAAGTTATTTTTATTACACTGTTATTGCCATGTGATATATGATGTGAAATGGATGCCATGTAATCAAATAACTTGAAGAATACTGTAGAGTACTGTACTGTACTTGCTAAAACAGAACTGGTTTTGCTATTCTTAAGAGACAAAATCAATGCTTTTGCTAAACATTTTTTGCTAAACCCGGATATGCTTTAACGCTAAAAATGACACTATATGTGAAACTTGATTACTGATG